GTGTGTGTGTGTGTGTGTGTATTTAAATAAAAAAAAAGAACAGTAAGATATGTAATCCGGTGTTCTTATAGATATTTTTATTTTTACAAAATAGTGCTCAATGTAAATTTACAGAGCATTAATATTATAAATTAATTGATTTAAAATATGGTTTTTCCGTTACACAGTTCTAACCATGTTTCAAAAAATGAAATATGGTTAGAACTGTGTAGGGAAAAAAACATAATTTAAATATATATATATATATATATATATATATATATATATATATATATATATATAAATATATAAAATTTTATGTGATAAATCATTTATATAGATATTTATTTTAAGTTAACCGTTAACTTTTATTTTTTTTTAATTTTTATACCAAAATTCATGATCATGAAAATATGAGAATCCATTATCTGTAGACATTCTAGTTATTAATTATAATAGTGAACACTTCTTATTTCAAGTAAACGACACATTTTTCTTATTTATTAAACAGTTTGCATCACGTTTATCGGCCTGCGCTTCGAGAAATCTAAAGAAAACGCGTTTTTCGGCAGGGATCGAACCTGTGTTCCCTATACCTACGCAGTTTCGTATTCGAAACGCAAAGGAAGCAATTTATAAAGAATATGTTTATTTGCCTTAGAAAAGCAAACTGCCTGTTTAATATTTTATTGTATATTTCCACATTTTGATAATATATATATCTGGATCAAAATGGCTGATAGAATGTCGAAAGTTCATGTGTGGTCTGTTGTTTTTGTTCAGACTTGTTGTTTTCATCCGACTCTCTCATTATCAAGAACCATGTGCTGTCAGTGTTGTAGTCAAGATCCTGTTCAATACCTCCTAGTATATTATATATAGTGTAAAGTCTGTACACTTCCGAAGTTATGTCATATATAACGGTTAAAGTGAGGGAAAACTTTGTATAATCTATTAAATATGCGTAAAATATAACAACAATAATAATTGATTCATTCTTACCTACTACGGTCTCGCTCCCGTCAACGGATACACATGACGTTGCTCTCCTCTTCAATGGAGGTCGACTTAACCACTAAGCCATCATTTCATGTCTTCTAATATGACAAAAATAGAGCTAAATTGGAGGAGTGTTTTGAGGTGTGTGTTAATTTTCGGAACAATCCTGAAATAGCGACGAAATATCATCTAAAATCGTTTGTCCTCCATGACGGGCCTTTTCCCCAAACAGTCTAAATGCTTCAAAAGAGCGGGAAGTTGGTTTTCGATGAATTGGGAGAGAGGGAACGTCTTGCTGCCCAGTGCACATCATAGCCGATGGGGAGATTCAAGGTACGTCATTTTGTCGTCTAATGGTAACATGCCATAGCGGGCATTAAGTAATCAGAATTTAGTCATTAAATTTCTTTTTTTTTGTTGTTGTTGTTGTTCCTAGAGAAAATGTCGTGTCAATATTACATTTATATTACTATTCATCTCCAAGCTTAACAGAAGTTTCGTGATAAAAGCGATCATAAACGAAAATGACATATCATTAATTAATCATGGCTAAGGATCAGAATCTCATGAAGTATTGAAATAAAATATATATATATATATATATATATATATATATATATATATATATATATATATATTATTCAGCATCATTTTCCAACTTATTCAAGATGATCTTCACCCTCTCTAAACTTC